CAGCCAGCACAATACAGTCAGTCGTCAGAGGGCCAACGGAGCAATTACATGGATGCTCGGAACCACACAGTTAAAAAAACAGAGGGCTGCAACAAGAAACAGCGGTTCTTCAAGGACAGCGCAGTAGCAAGCAGTGTACTGGAGGTGCAGAGGAGGGATGAGTGGAACAACCAATCCTTCTACGAGCTGTTCTTTCATTTCGATGATAAATAGGCACTGGTACAGACGAGAAAATCAAAAGCCGAAGTCAAAAACGCTATCCGTTTGCTTCTACGCAATCTCCTAAAAAAGCCTTGCTAATGAGCAGCTGCTGCAAGCACATGATACCAGTCAAGTGTCTCCACCTTTCACACGCAGTGAATACGGGAATGTTTAGTAGAAAATACTACAGTTTCAATATGATGTATATTCGAACAGGTCACTTAAAATATTGCTCTCCTACGAAAGAATAAAAGTTTGTTCCGAAATGGAGCTTCGTCCCCAAAACTGGAAAGAAAATCTATCTGCTGAGCCTGCACCGGAACATGACGTCAAATTTGGACTATTCTGCCACTGAAAATTGTAGTTGCGCTCTCAGTAATGGGCTTTATCGCTGCCCTGGCTCTCTTAAAGAAGTACTGCATACTCGGAACTTCCACATTTTCGCGGCCTGTTCTGGTAACTAGAATTACCCACCCAAGAAAAAAAAACAGTATTATTTAGCAACAGAAATATGTAGAATTTGCAAAAAACGCATGACCGATGCAAGCCGCCACAGACTCTTGTTTGGAGAATTAAAAAATGTAAGAAAGTGACTTGTGTCACAATACAAATAAATCGATCCTATAATTTCTGGTGTTTTGCAGAATTAGCAATGAGAGTTATTTGCGAGTGCACGGACGAAATCGCGCCTAAGAGTCCCAACTGCAGCCCAACAAACGCTTGATAAGGAGACAATAAAGATAATCCAGCTCAAGCCTCAAAGTTCTGAAAAAAAAAGGAAGTGAAAATACCTGTTCAATTTCTTCTGCTGAGGCACTGGAAGGCAAATCCTGTTTATTCGCAAGTACCAGAAGAGATGCGCCGGCAAGCCTTTCCTCCACCTGAAACAACAGTTAATCACTGAACCATGCCAACCATAATACAGGGCATTCCCAGATGCTGTATCGATAAAAACGAAGGTCAGACAATAGCAAAAGCTAAACATGAAAGCATACGAGTAGCGAAGCCAGCTCACGCTTGCAGTCATCCATTCTGTCGATATCGGCCGAATCGACTACCCAAATCACGCCGTCTGTTTGCTCGAAATAATTC